ATGGAACCAGCAACAATTTTGGCCATTTGAACTTGGCCTCTTGTGATATATAATGATTATAATGGAATATGGACGAATATGGACTAAGGTTCAAAGTGGAGCCTTAGTTCTTTTCCCAGTTGGTGGATAAGTCTTGATGTGTCTTGATGTGTCCAGGAAGGTTGATAGCATTGCCAATCAGCCAGAGGGCCCCTGCAAAAGATGGACCAAATTCTTTGCTGGTGAACGTAGATATTCCCATTGATACCAAAAGACTAGTTAGGATTAGTTTCTACTTTCTACCCATCTAAGATTGACCTAGTTATAGGGGATTTCCCACATTTCCTATGGGTTGGCCCATATTTTTGCGATGGTTTCTACCCGTCAAAGATTAGTTTCTACCCATCTAAGATTGACCTAGATAGTATCAAACTAGTTCAGTGGCTTTTTTCACCAACAAACGTAGAGGACAAATGTCATGTTGGACAAATTGTCATTTGGCCGATGTGGATCACAAATGGTCTGATCAGTTTCATCTGGGCAATGAACTCATTTGGCTACAATGTGGGACCCCGGTCGATAGCTAAGTTGGTTAATAACTCCAATAACTATGGTTTATGGTACTTGTAGCTGTAACTATAGTATCCATGGGGTTTATAAACCAACTTATAACTGGGGGGCCCACATTGTATGAATTGTCGTATACAAACCAGTCTGGGCCCAAACAGTTCCAGGTGTTTTTTTTCAGAAAAACAAATGTTTGTCGGCGTTTTGTGCCCCCATGTTTCACCATGTTTCACCCAAAACCCCGTCCTCCACAGCTTCCTTTGGCTGCTTCGAACCCGTGGCGCGATCGACTTCACCAAACGTGTCACGCGGAACGGGCGGAACGGGCGGAACGGTCAGCGCTTCATCGCGATCACCGGGGCGATCGCCGCTGGCACTGGCACTGGCGTTCTGTCCAACGGATCCAACGGGCTCCTCGGAGAAAGGACATTTTGAATCTGGATCAATGAAAATATATAACTCACTAACCTGAAATAGGGTTATATTACGTTATATTGAGATAATTCATGATAATTCCCTGTATACTGACCATCATCTATTGGGAGGTTGCAGTGAAGTCATTCTAATTTACCCAGAATAAGCCGGAAAAATCCGCTTGAAACTTTGTGAGAAAACCGCATTTCGGACTCGCTAAGTTGGTTGATACAACCAGGGTCCCACCAAAAGCTGTTTATGAATCAATTCATCAGGGCGAATTCCCTGGATAGCTAAGTTGGTTTATAATAGTTAAAGAAACTACTTGGGTAAATTATAACAATTCACTAACCTGAATTGTTGGGCCATGTGGGGATGATTTCCCTAACATAAACCATGATTCCATGTGGCTTAGACGGGCTAGATCAACTCATGTTGGAGGTTGCCAATGAAATCGTCAGGAGATCTCAGCAAATTCACCCATGGATCTAGCAATCTCAAATAGGAGAAGCAAATTGGAATACTGAAGTTATTAATGTCAACCCTGGATTCATAAACCCCAAACGGCTGTTTAATTGGGAGGGTACCATTTATATAAGTATCAAGTAATGACTATTGGAGGAGTCCCCCCAATTAATAAACCATGGTTTATTAATCCGGGGTTGACAGTATGGCCAACCATAATATCATCTATACCAGGTGGTGCCCCCTAATCATAACGTGCTTTTTTCAACCCACTAACTACAGGAACAATTACCACAATGCCTGCTTAGTTAACCCACTAACTTAGCGGACGGTGACACGGCATCACCTCCTAAGAAACATGTATTTTGTTTCTCAATGCGGGCCCCCAAACGTGATGTGAAAGTTGGTTTATAAACCCCATACCACCTATATATTTACGGTGATGACTGGAGGATGGTGTATGACATTGTTTTAACCAGAGTATAGTTATACCAGTTGGAAATTCCCAACAATGTGGGCCCCCAAACAGTGTAAATTGGTTTATAAAGCCTATTAACGTAATAAGTATCATTAACCATAACTATTGGAGTTACAAAACTATTGGAGTTACAACCACATTGTATCGTATGTTTTTTTTCAGAACAAAACTATTTCGGGGTTGGTAGACCTACATTGCCGTCATGCACCTGCATGGATTTGAAAAAGATGATGTAATGGGCCTTCTGTCGAGAACTGTAATCAACCAATGAATGAATAGCTAAACACATTACACTAGTAATAGGTTAATTAAACTAGTAATAGCCATTAGCAATACATTGTATAATGATTACAGTTGAGCCATTAGTTAAACCATAGATAACCAACTGATTTTTGAGCCATTAGCAATACTTCATTTGCCCATCTCATTAAATACTTGTTGGTTGAAAACGGTTCCCCAATCCCATCGTAATCCACAAGAACCAAAGTAGTAAAACTCCTTGCAATAACCAATCAACAATGGTATTTTGTTCATGGCTCATTTGCCATGGTCAAACATGAATCTGTGTTACAAAGTGCTGCCCCCAGTTGTGTTTGTTGGCTCTAACCGCTAAAACTATAGTGAGATATGGGGGTTTCTTAGAATGGTGGTAGCCCAAAAATGGGTGATTTGAGGGTACCCCATTTGGAAACCTCCATATATCCAACATAAATTCAACAGTTAACCCTACTTATTTTATCCTACGATTGGCGATTCCGAACTGAAGCAGTACCTCAGCAAAGTATATATATATTATAAATCCCATAGTATTACCATTCATGTTGGTTAACCTCTCATTAACTTCCCATTAAGAGCCATTACGTATATATGTGTGTATGTGTGTAATATAAAACTAAAAACTAGATGAATTAATATATATATATATGTATATAAATATTGTGATACATATGTGTATATATATACACATACACATATTATATGTATGTGTAAGTTATTCAATAAAAGAGAAACTCTGGATATTCCATGGTCACATCTTTGGGAGGGTTCACATTCGCGTACAGTGGTTTTTAGTCAGGTACGAGGTGCCCAGGGTGATTTGCGGCAGCTATATCTACAATGTGGGGCCCCCAAACGTGATGTGAACGTTTAGAAACACCAGTAAGTATAGTTCTATCTACCATAAACCAAAGTGAAATTGGAGTTATAAACTAACTTAGCTATATATCGTAAACGGCAGCCCACCTTTGAACAAAAAATAAGGTTTAAGGGGAATATATCGATAGAATGTTATAAACCAACTTACTGGGGGGGGTACCACCTCGTATTGGATAGTCCCAGTAACTAGCTTGGTCAGCAGTTACAATTCATGTGATGCACATCCAAGCAATTCCAATCACCAGCATGATGCTACAAGGTCCTTAAGTGGAGTCATGTTTATCCAAAATTGTAACCAGCAAGTACTGACTCATTAGCCTCATGGCAGGTCAGCAAGCCGGTTTTAAGCCGTGAAACCATTGTTGACTAGTGAGCCTACCTTGACCTTCAAAGTAACCATGCAAATGTGTAAACGAAAAACCGAAAAGTGCTTAGATGGGCCATGGAGTTAGTTAACTAGTTAGTAAATGGATTATTTCATTGGGATATAGGGGGTTATAAACCCAGTTTCTAACCAGTTAGTCAGTCCCATGGCCCATCCAAGTTCATGAATGTAGCCTCTCGTAACAGTGCGTGCTGGATCCATCGTTTAGTGTTGGTGATTTTCCCAGCGATCAATCTCCATGGCCAGTATCAGTGTCGTGTGGTGATTTTCCCGTTTGCCATGTTTGAGAAGTACATTAACTCCCATTAAATCCCATTAAGTCCCCTTCAAAGTCTATTGAATCCGCATTCCCGGGAAAACTTGAAGGTTTCGCCAGAAAAAACGAAGATCGCTCGAACAGGCGACAACTCACCAAGAATCTGGTGCCAACCCTGCCATAGATTCGGGAACCCGTACTGGGCCGGCAGGTGAATCGACATGACAGAAGCGATACCTGCAAGCAAAAAACCAACCCGACCTGAAAAAAAAGGCATCTTGAAGTTCAGCAACGATGAAATATAAAACGCCATTGTATTGGGTTTCAAGTGGCTTTAACATGGGTGATTATCTTTTGGGATATCTTAGGTGGGCACTCCATGAAACAAAAACTCTGGCAACAAAACAAAATATTTCAACAACACAAGTTATGATCTCATAAGTGTTTTAACAGAATTTCGATGAACTAACCTGATATGAGGAACAATGATGGTTAATTGGGCGTGTCTGAATATTCGAGATTGTACATGCTCAGAGTGGCAAACTGTAATCTTGGGGAAATAATGCGAGTTTGGGCTAGTGGAAAGAACACCGTGCGTTGTTCCTTTACGTCTTTCGATGTCTATCAAACTAGTTTATGTTAACGTTGATTTATATATTTAATTATACATTGTACATAATCACTACCGTTTTACCTGGGGAAGGCCACGCCAAAATGTAGGTTACATTTTAAACGCGGTTTTTTTAGGGGGACTGCGGGAGGATAGCCGGGGCAGGGGCGGGAGGGCGACGGAATCTACGGACATACCCCAAAACAATGTAAGGCGGGGAGGGTTCAGCAGAATCCTAAGAATGGGGCCGGGGAGGGTCGTCCAAATTGCCCATTGCATTTTGGCAAGGAATTTCGAAAACGGGACCGTTGCGGGGTGGTGGCTATATAAAATAATATATATATACATATTATTGTGCGTAAAAAATGTATATATCTCCAAATTTATCTATAGACAATTAAAATATATTAAAAATATTATGTGTTGATTTATGTTTTATTTAACCATTTATGTACGGGGTCGGTGGACAATAAGGTTCACAACAACTTGCATACAGAAGAAATGACACGCCACATGATGTTCGATTCATAAGAGATATCGCACTACATGATGCTACCTCCACAAGATGTCATGCTACTTGCTTTTAGGTTCAGAACAGATGCTGCGCTGCATGATGATACATTCACAAGAAATGTCACGTTGTGTGCGTTGTGTTGCTGCCAGTGTCTTCAGCTGAAACTATGCAGAACAACCATTGTTATGACACAAATCGTTTGAAGGTGACCGAAACTTCACAAAGTCCTGAAACGACAATGGCCGACCTTTGATCATGGTGGAAAACTGATAGAAACTTGTCAAGGCGGCGAAAGGATCATGTTTTGTGAGCGAGGACATCCCTCTGGCGGGCATTTTTGATGCTGGACACTTGTAGTTGGATAGCGAAAAAATGTATCCCCCATGTACAAGTTGGTCTATAAAGTTAATGTTTGAACCACTTAAATTCCACTGCTTCTGGAACACCACATTGTACCTGAAGAGCGCTACTTTCCAACGTTTGCTGGTTGCATATTGATTATTGAATCTTAACGTTCACTGATTATTTGCTTGGCCTGCCCACTGTTAAAATAAATTTTCCCCGCGGGATGAAATGAAGCTTATAGGACGCCCTGCGAACACATGTTTTTGATTGGGCACGCATTTGCCACTATTTTGTCGCCCACCCTAACAAGGCCCACCCACAGTACAGTACGGACGCAACAAAAAAAAATCGAGCCACCACTGCGCGCCTACGCACGTGGTAACGACGCAGGACGAAAACCAGCTTTCCAGAGGCTTTAGTTCACTAAATGATCTGTTGGATGGCAATGTGGCAGGTAAATCTACCCAAGTCAATTCGGGGCAAAAGACCCCATCCTCCCAAAATTGAATACCACCAAACAAGGCTCAAGAATGAGTAAGTTTCATACAAAACCAAAAGATGGGTGGCGGGGGTGGGTCACTAACCTGCACCCCAAAGAATATAAGCCCCACGGGTCCAAACTCCAAAACCAAGAGCCGCAAAACGAGGGCATTGGCTATCATTGGCATAGAAAAGAACGAAATTTGGGCAACATGGTTTCAAGGAGATGAATGTAACCAACTTTGAAGCCCTGAAACTGATTTCCCTTTCCTCATGGGCAAATGGCAGATGCTGCAACTGGTGCTGGCATTCATGCGTACACACAATCTGCGAACTGTTTTCAGGTGTCCAGTTGCGTGGATGCCCCGGAAGTTTTAAGTTGCTTCCTAGAGCCAGGCATCCAGTCAACTTTAGGTACCAAAATCATAAGCCCTAGTCAACATACTTATACCAACCACCACGGCACACGAATTGGGGTACCGCCTCACGAGGGTGATTTGCAACGGTTTGACTTTGTATGTATGTATAGATGCATGCATGCATGCATGCATGCATGTCAAAAATTGCATTCCTCCATGTATAGCCCAAACTTGACTTCATTTTGCTTAAGGAATCCCCGGAACAGTTCGAACATCTTCCTGTAATCGATTCTCCAGTCGTAGTGGGTTTCCCGGAAAAAACAACATCATCGACTCGGCCAATCCAGGTGTTTGAATTATATATATATATATATAGATAGACAATAATATGTATATCCTGTAGTAATCAAACATGACGAGTTGGGAAATCCTCCATTTAGTTGAATTTCCCAATTGAATATTATCTCGTAAGGGATTCTCCAGCCAGCCAGGTTTCTGGCTAGCTATTTTGGGATTACCTCAATCCCATTCCCATCGTTGCAGAAAAAACAGTGCTCACGGTGCTCCCAGTGATGTGAACATTGATTTATGAATCCAAGTAACTAGTTCGATACAGCATAAACCATTGAATTCACCAAGTTATGTTCACAAACTTAAGTATAATACCGTATATCTAGATCTACCAGAAACCATAGACATCCTTTATTATATGAGGTGGTACCTGTCTATAACGTTATGCTTGTTGGTTTAGATTCAGCCCATGCATATTATAGATATCGCTATAATTCGATAGATATATCCATGGCCAATCTTAGATACCCTGCACAAAAAAAAACTTAGCTGGTTGATAATCCCATTGATACCAAAACTGGTTGGTGGTTGAGCCACCCCTCTGAACATATGAGTTCGTCAGTTGGGGTTACTATTCCCAATATATTATGGTTAAGGAAAAATAATCCATTCATGTTCCAAACCACCAACCAGAAAAGACTAGTTAGGATTAGTTTCCACCTAAGATTGACCTAGTATCCCTCAAGTTCACCATAGTGAAAACTTTCCGTAGTTCATATATAAGTTGGTTATAAACTCACCAAAAAGGGGCTTAGATCCCAGGGGCTTACTTATGATAGATTTACATGTTTTAAGTTTATTTTTGGTAGTTGAATTATATAAAGGTTGTTGGCAACTCAAAAGGCCTCAAAAAGCCTTTTAGAGACAAGTAGAGAAAAATAGAGAAGAATAGAGAAAAAAAGAGAAAAAACAAGAAAGACATGAACCGCTTTTAAATCATGTTTTGACCTATTGACACCAGAAAGGACCAGATGCAAGCTAGGGAGAAACACAGTGATCCAGTGCTGTTATCAGGTGTCAAGCTCTGTCAAATCTTGTCCAGTGCAAGTGCTGTCAAATGCTGTCCACTTTTTCAAAGTTTTTTCACATGATTTCTCCCATGATGACACTGGATACAATGTTATTGCAAGACCAGAGCATTTGAGTAATTGGAGCCAAATGCTGGCCAAAAAATACATGTGTCTACCCAAGAGCCAAGAGATAAATAGAGAAACATAAAGAAAAAAAGAGCAGAATTAGCGAGGCGATACACCATCAGGTTCCCAGAGAAAATTAGAGAAAAATATAGCAAAACAGAGCAAAGTAGAACATGATTTTTTATTGATTTTGAATGGGCAGAGAAAAATAGAGAAAAATAGAGAACAATAGAGATTGAAAACAAGGCGATTTTCACTCAACAGCTCACAGCGAAAGCCAGTGGACGGCATTTTTTGTTCCCCATTACCGCGTCCAACCCGATCACCCAAAATGCTGTGGAATCATGCATCATGAACACATAATAGTCAGCACTTGACACAACGCTGAATTTGACCTACTTCAATAAAAACAACCATCACTTAACGCCAAACGCCACAACTCATACTGGAATGGTTGTATGTGATCTGCTTCATGCCGAATGGATTTCTGGACCAGAATTTGATTTGAAAAAGGATCTGTTTCTTTCTTGGATTTGCTCTATTGTTCTGTATTCTTCTTTTTTGTCTCTTAGAGACTTTTTGAGACATTTAGAGTTTTACCAATCCAATTTTTGAAAAAATATCTTGGATAAACCCCTACATTATGAGCTCCCTTTCGCGCTGATCAACCCCAGTAACCACCTTCTGCATGAGGTCAGGCGTGAACGCAGCGTGAACGACGCACGTCACGTGAAGCACAAAGTGACTTTTCATGGGAAAACCATAAGGAAAAATGGGGCAAGGGGCAAATCTAAGGAAACCATGGGAAAACCATGCGAAAACCATGGGAAAACCATGGGAACTTGTTGATTTAACATGATTTGACCAAGAAACAGCAAGAATTTTCCTGGAATTCAAAGCTTTATTATATTTTCTACCGCACCCGATTAACTTCCATTAAACCACCATTCTTGCTGTTAAACATCACCATTTTTATGGGGGCTCCACTAACTGTACCCACCCTGCCTCTGACACTGTTCCAGTCTGCCAGAGCCCAGGAAGCTCCGCGCGGATTCAGCCGCGGATCTGGTGCTGGATCTGCCGGACGCCCTGGACGCCGCCATCAGCGGCCGGAAGCTGTCCGAGGCTTCCTCGGCGACGCGGCTTTAAGGGCCGAAAAGAAGGGAACCGGCCAAGTTGTCAGGTGCTGAAATGGTGCTTAGATGGGCCATGGGATTAACTGGTTAACTGGGGATATAACCCTTTATATCCCAATTATAATCCATTTACTAACTAGTTAACTAACTCCATGGCCCATCTAAGTGGTTTTGAAAATCAACATTTGGATTCGGCATTTTTTTGAAAGCGAGTTGGGGATTCAACTAACTAGTAAAATCCATGGATTTAATTCCAGGATCCAACAGGGTTAGTTTTGTTTATCACCATAAATCTCAAGTTATATAGGTTATACCAACATACGTAACTATGGGGCACCACTGTGTAACCAAAAATAGGTTCTTTTTATCCACAATGATTCAATGACGAGAAGTTCATGTGGCTAGTAGGATGATGGGTGGCTTTTTATCAAATAATATGATTGTATGAGTTATCCTCCAGTAGTGAAACATGGCTAACTGGAAAAATCCTCTAAGAGTGGAGGTTGTAATGGGAATTTCATCTACGTATAAATCTGGAATTTTCCAAAGCTCGGCGAGTTTACCGGAGGGTAACCAACTCAGCAACCCATGATTTTCCTCAGCACATGAGCACTCTGCAAATCCCCCTGTCATTCCATTGCACTTATCAGTTCAGAACGGGATTCCAGTACAGGGATGATGATAATTACAAATATGTAAAAGGTAGCATACCCCGCAATGAAAGCATCAACTAAAGTGGCTTTTGAATAGTGCCCACATGAACTTAGAAGCAATAGCCACCCGCAAAAGTTGTCTGCTGGTTTGTCTGGCTTTACACTGATGCTCAAATCAAAGGCTCCAACTCCTAAATCCCTGACTTTGGATGTCTTTTGGTGCTGAACTTCACACATCGCCAGCTTCAACCACTGCCCACTCAGAAATGTCTTATTCACTGAACTATAGATGTATTTACAATAAATCTGACACTTGATCTACTTATAAACCATACATATTGCATTACATTCCATCATATCCCTATCATGTTCTTCTGACATGGATATTTTTAGATGGTTTATAAATATTTTGGTCTAAAATCACATGTGATGGCGTTGGGTAATAAACATCTAATGCCCAAATTAACATGTGTTGGGTAAGAAACATCTAGTGCGCCAACTATGTCAATGGGAATTTCAGGACCCTAAAATGGAGGTACTGCACCATATTTTTGGCCATATTTTGTGGGGATATTCCCTGAAATTTAAGCCAAAAAGATACGGTAGGTACCTCCAATAAATCCGTTCCTGAAATTCCCATTGACTATATCTGGTTGGTGGTTGAGCCACCCCTCTGAAAAATATGAGTTCGTCAGTTGGGATGATGGCATTCCCAAT